CCCCCCCCCCCCCCGGCTGATGAACGCCTTCGGTGGATTCACAGGGTTGTAGCTGTAGAATAATCGCGGAATTGCTCCCCGGCTCCGCCAGGGAAATTTCGTAGTCTATCCGTGTATCATTCGGTCGATAGCGGTAGTCTTGGTCATGAAGAAGGAAATACGGTGCGTATAGGTACTCTGTACCAGAAGAAGCAGCAGTTTGTAATTTTGTGAGAGGGAGCGTGCGTGCGGAGGGGTAGCCACAGCTGCACTGGTCAGGCGGACGTGAGCGGTGGTGGCAGAGGGTGGCAAGGGCTAGGCCCTTGGGGCGGGGTAAGTTTTGTGTGTGCTCATCTTGGTTATGCAATTGCTGGTTCGAGCACGAGCAAGAACTAGGGTATTGGCCGGTTACGTGCTGGCGCCGACGATATGTTCGGTTTGTTGACGCGCACAACTGCTGTGCTGTACGGTGCCTGTGAGGCAGAGAGAGAGAGAGAGAGAGAGAGAGAGAGAGCTGCTCTGCCTCCTGCCTGTATTATATCCCGGGTCCTGTTCAGTTGAGAGTTTTTTCAACCAATTTGTAGGTTTGAGTACGTCTGCAATGTTGACGGGTGTAGTTTTGTCCGCTATTATGTTGGCGTATGATGTGTGTTTGCGTTTTTATTTTTTATTTTTCTCGTGTCTACTTCTCGGTATCCCCTGGATCGAATGAGGCGGGTTATACTACACAACTAAGAGAAAACAGACTCGGCTTGATCGGAAAGCTTGGAGAGGAGTTTTTGACGAAAATAGTTGCTGATCCATTTCAGCATCACCGTTGATGGGTGGAGGCAATCCATAAAAAGAACCCGCCCTGGTCGATTTTTGTGGTCCATACCCGGTTGTCGGGAAATCAAAAGCCGGAAAGGGGAACAAACACGTTTTTTTTTTCTTAATATCACACAACAAACCCATCTCTATCTATCGACGTATGTCTAAGATTAGCAATGAATCCTTGTTTTCGAACTTTTGCAATGAATACGTTTGCTGGATCCATTCCAAACAAGCCTAGGGTTACCTACACCGGGGTAGGTACCTCTGTTGTTTTTTGGTCCCAACACTCTTTTGTTTTGCATTGGCGACGACGACGATGACATCTGGACGGGCGGATCTCGTGGCCAATCGGGTTGTAAAGTAGACGATCGCCGACACAGCAGTAGTACGCGAACGCACAACAGTGGACAGCAACTGATTCGCCACCATTATCCGAACGATTTCGACAGTCCACCTAGGCCAGAGGGGGTAGGATGAATGAATACCTTCAACATCTACTACAGGCTACAGCAAGGATCTAGACTACCCACTGTAGGAGGCAATGTAGCTCTCGATCCTCCTCGAGCGAGACGAGGCTTGACACGAAAGAAGACATGAACACGAACAACTGCTGGAACGCGGGACGCGGATCCGCGAAATTGCAATGAAACTTGGGGGGGGCTGGTTGGAACGAAGAAAAAAGCCTCCTTCGTAACAGCAAAACCCCCTTCAAATCGTCGTCGGCGAAGAACCAGCAGTAGAATCCACCATCTTCTACCTACTACCGCAGTTTTCGCACGTCACGAGCGTCGAAGTCAAAGCCGTGAGTCACTGGTCTCTTTAACTAGCGGGAAAGGTAGCGCATGGAAGACGATAGGTGTGTCGGGGGGTAAGGTTCAACACGCTGCTACTGGCGTAAATACGTAAACCCTCCCAAAACAACCACGCAACTTCAATCAACAGGTGCAACATGTTCGGAACTAAGGCAGCAGTGCTTCGTGGAGCGAGACTTATCGGCCGCCGCTCGCTGCACAGGCGTCAGCCGCCCGACGCTCCTGCGGCAGCAGCAGCTGCCTGCGCTGGGCCTGGCGCCCCGCAACGGGAGCGCGGTGCTCACTACAGCAGGAGGGTTGCTCGATTGTCAACTGCGGCGGGATTAAAGGTTGCTACGGTGGCACGTCAGGTGCAACACGGGGGGGAGCGGTTCCCGTCGCTACTTATCACTGCCGACGACATCACTGCGGAGTAAGTGCGCCGTACTGTGCTGTGCTGTTGCTCGTGGCGTTCGTGCTGGTGGTGCGTGTTTGTGGCGTTGCCACGTCACACGCGGTTTTTGTTGTCAGCTGTGACTGCTGTGCTGCGGGAAATGTGCGGTCGCCACCACGCACAATCGATCGGTAGAGTACTTGGAGCGGATCCCGTCGCCTTTCGTTGTGTCCCTGCTCCAGTGCATTGACATCTGCTATCGTCGCTGTTGCGTCATGGTAAAAGTTACAACCTCTACCTAGACATGTATGTGTGCCATCCCTGCTGTAGCTATACTCAATCAAGCCCCCCGCTCATCATCCGGGCAGTCTCCGGGGTTTTGTTGAACCGACCGGAATATGGCCGTTGTTACGGCAGCACCTTCGAGCACGTTGAAGGGGTGGGACGAGCGCTTGCGTTTTGCTCGTTTGCTCTCTCTCCTCTCGACTGACGCCGAAGGCGCCAAAGACAAGGTATTGTGAGTGATTGTGTGATTGTCTCACTGCTGTGAACACGCGAACTTGACGTTACACCGCATGTGTAGCACCCAAAAACTCATTGTTGGATGTGTGGCATACAAGGAACTCATTGTTGGATATCTTCCCATTTGTAGCACACAAAAACTCACTGTTGGATATCTTCGATGCTTCTCAACTGCTACCGCCTTGTTGCTGTTGGCGTGGTGGTCGTTGTGGTGGTTTCGTACACACGAAAAAAAACAACCAACAGGGGTTCGTTCGCGGAGACCCAGGCGACGTTCATGACTCCGGACCCGTCCTTGGTGTCTGAGCTGGACCACTTGCTGCCGTCCAAGAACATGGGGGTGGTGGCTCACTACTACATGGATGCCGAGTTGCAGGTGTCGATGTGTGCGCTTTTTCGTGGCACGTTTTATTTTTGTCTTGGTTCTGTAGAACCCGTTCTGCCGTCTATCCCGAACTTCGCTCTCCAGGGATGCATGCTTCTACTACTGCTGTACTTTCGGGAACACTTTTATAATTTTTTTAATACAGAGTAGAATGAATGCACAGTCAATGGGATGTACATGTAACTTTCAGATTCAGCAGTGGACTTCTTCAGACTTTGTACGTGTTATCTTTTATTCCCTGTTACCGAGAATATCAAAACGCCTTCACAAACTACGGTTCGAAACTACACTGTATGCAGGTACTCCGAACCCTATCCATACGTATGTTCATGTAACTTACTTTCGGACTCTCACGGTACGTCATACCGGTCAAGACTATCAATCACCTCGCGGCACCTTTCTGGCTGTAGACATGGCGTCAACCGCGCTCACCGGGCGGATAAACAAAGACGACCAACCTTCACGGGGACCCCTAATCGCGAGCATGCTGCCGTGTGGTCCACCATTCCTTGTTACAGCATCGACCGCGCAAAAGCGCGGACTGATGCTCAGGACGGGTCTTACAAGAGAGGCAAAGAACGCGAAACTGCTTATTGCTAAATACCCACCTCTCGAAAATGTCGGGGCCGTTCGGATAGAAGTTCTTGTGTGCACGCGCTGATTTTGCTTCACGCCCCCCGGTGTCTGCCGTCGGGGTTGGGTTTTCGTCGCTTGGCAACGACGTTATAAAACAAGCCCCCCTCCCCCCGGTGTTTGCCATCGGGGTTGGGTTTTCGTCGCTTGGCAACGACGTTGTAAAACAAGCCGCCCCCCCCGGTGTTTGCCGTCGGGGTTGGGTTTTCGTCGCTTGGCAAAGACGTTGTAAAACAAGCCAATTCACTTCGTGAACTCGGCAACCAGGTTACAGTACCGTTTTTTTTCCTCCGTTTATTTTTTTTGGGCGGTAACCATAATGATGGTTGAGTAGATCATGTTGTGCGGGGTGAACCCTCACTCCGCGCAAGGGGGATGATCGCACCACGTTGTGTTGAAATGGTCAAGCACCCTCGAGGCAGTTACACAGTGCTTACAACTGTCTCTGGAAGTGAAAGCACCAGAAAATAAATTAATTCATACGCAGCTGTCATCCGTACGCAAGGAAGTAAGCACAAGATGCCGAACACCCTTAGCAGGATGCAGCGCACCCTTCATGCGACTCGCCGAATATCTCACGGCGCTTCGCGCTTGGTGATGTGAGAGCCTGGTCCGGTGAGAACCCGGCGTGCTCCGTCCCGGCTTTGTAGGGATGCGAGGTCAATGGTCTAACGACTACGGCATGCACGACTATGAGTACACCCCCCCCCACCCCCCCCCAGCGGCTGAACACAACAGCAACAATCAAACCTAACGCTGCTGCCTGCTTGCCTGTGTCATCATGCGTCGCCCCCTACCCCACCTCGGGCACGGACCTACTACCCCCCTACCTACCTACACGGGACCCCCTACCTCCGGGCGTAACTGCCAACCGGGCGCGCAGGGCGCGCTGGCGGCCCTGAAGTGGGAGCACGTGTCCGTGGCCGACTCGCTCGCGATGGGCGACGCGGCGGTGCGGATGGCTGAAGCGGGTGTCTCGAGCGTGGCGTGTCTGGGGGTCGACTTCATGGCGGAGAGCGTTCGGGCGACGCTGGACTCGAGGGGGTTTCAGGGGGTGCCGGTGAGCCAATCAGCACGCGGGGGGGAGGCAGGGGTGGGGTTTCGGTGTACATGAATCGTTGCGGCTGTCGCCGCTTGCGGTGTTGTTGTTGTTGTTGTTGTTGTTGTTGTTGTTGTTGCTGTTGTTGTCTTGCCTTGGCTGTCGGGCGGACACGGGGGCGAGCGAGTACAGCGTGGGGGACGTGCTTTATTACCGGATAGCCGCACGTCGTTTCTGTTGTTGTTGTTGTCGTCGTCGTCGTCGTCGTCGCTGGCACTACACCCTACCCCAGTAGTCGCTTGCGCTGCGGTTTCCTGCTGATTGTGCTTCGATGAATAGAACGTATTTCCTTGTCTGCCGAAGGTTTGCCTGGTGCCAATGCCGGCGCTGGTGCTAGCACCGTAGCTGGAGAAGTTGTTTCTCATTTTCCCTCGCTCCGTGGTCAAGCTTTCACCCGTTTGTGTATGTTAGACAAGGCCTCACCGAAAGGTGGGGACCCGTTAGTTTCGCCTGTTGTCCTGGCCCTTTGTCCTGGCCACATGCCCGATGTTCGTGTGTGCGAACCGCCTGTGGCCGTGTCATCCAACACGTACTTTTTGTTTAGTTTTCTCCGACAATCGTTGTTTGATTTGTAGAAGGTCGGTGTGCTTTCTGGGTAGTTGGCCTGTGACCACGGAAGGCGTCCGCGTCAGTTGGGCCGGTACGGATATTGGAAAGTACTCAGAAGAGACCAGAAATGTTTGCAAGGTGAAAATAACAAGATCAACAGTTTCGGTTCCCCATTGCTGCACTTGCTCCAGTTGCATTGCATCAACAAGAGCAACAATTTCGCCCCCCGCATTGCTGCACTTAATCCACTCGCGTTGCAACAACAATAACAACAACAACAACAAAACTCGTTTGCTTGCTTCCTTCCCCCGTTTCGCGGCAGGTGTACCGCCTGTCGGAGTCCGAGATTGGCTGCAGCCTTGCGGAGGCGGCGGAGCGCAAGGCCTACGAGGCTTGGCTCAGGAAGGCCTCGGCCACCGCGAACTCCATGCACGTGGTCTACATCAACACCTCCCTCGTCACCAAGGCCCTGTCGCACGTAAGCAGCGTGGAGGGTTTTAAGACGTTGTTTGTGCGGCCTGTGCTGATATGTAGCTCGCGAGCGTGGGTGCTCGGGGGCGAGTTTCCTGTCGTGGGTAGGTATACCGCCGAGTGTAGCGCCTATTTAGCTTGATCGATAGTGTTGCGTACTGTAGGGTAGAGGTTCGATGCCACCTGTGATAGGTACAGCAGTGTTTTCGACATGCTCGTAAGTTGTTTTTCTCCCGGGGGAGAGAGGGAGTGAAAGTATATCAATGGCTTGCTCGTCACGCTTGCCCTGGTCATACTCAATACTATTCTGCCGTACCGAGTATCGATCATGATGTTGCCAAGTGTCTCGCGTTCTGGTCTATTGTAGAGCACGATCTTGTCCCCTTTGCGTTTTGCATGCGGGCGGGGCGGGGGTTGCGTGCACGCACTTGTCGTTCTTTCCTTGGTGTATCGGCTGCCCTACACGGTTGGCCAATGGCTGTTCCCCCCGCCGTCATAGGCTCGATCAAGATCAACGATAGTTGTGCATGCGTGTGCTTTTTCGTTGCAACGCCTACCCATCTTCACTGGTGGCGAAATCGCGTCATCAATTCTTGGCGTGAAACAGATCAGAACTGAGCAACGGTCTGTATGTTTGTGTACCCTTGCTCCTTCTCGGCATGGTCCCCGAGGAGAAGACATATTCTTCTCTCATCATGCTGCCGCTAAGTTTCTAACGCTCGAAATGCTCCCTTCACCCTGTCGTGTTTCCGCATTTGTGTCTCGACAGTCTCTGGTGCCCACAATAACGTGCACCTCCTCCAACGTGCTCCACACGGTGCTGCAGGCCTTCGCCCAGGCGAGTCCGTCGATACATTATTCCCGCCCCCCCGCTTTGGGTTTTCGCCGCTTGGGAACGACGTTGTTAATCAAGCCCCCCCCTCGGTGTTTGCCATGGGGATTGGGTTTTCGTCGCTTGGCAACGACGTTGTAAAACAAGCCAACTCACTTCGTGAATTCGGCAACCAGGTTACCGCTTTCTTTTTTGCCTCTCTTTTTTTTGCGGTAACCATAATGGTGGTCGAGTAGATAATATGTGCGGGGTCGACAGCCCTCACTCCGCGCAAGGGGGATGATCGCACCACGTTGTGTTAAAATGGTCAAGCATCCTCGAGGCAGTTACACAGTGCCTACAACTGTCTCTGGAAGTGAAAGCACCAGCAAATAAATTAAGTCGTACGCAGCCGTCATCCGTACGCAAGGAAGTAAGCACAAGATGCCGAACACCCTTAGCAGGATGCAGCGCACCCTTCATGCGACTCGCCGAATATCTCACGGCGCTTCGCGCTTGGTGATGTGAGAGCCTGGTCCGGTGAGAACCCGGCGTGCTCCGTCCCGGCTTTGTAGGGATGCGAGGTCAATGGTCTAACGACTACGGCATGCACGACTATGAGTACACCCCCCCTCCCCGCTATCCCATCGCACATCTTCTTCCTTTGATATACAAAAATGTTATTTTGGAACATCCAGGACGAGCTCTACGGCTCCTTTCTTGCGCCCTTCCACCCCTCAAGTTCAGGCACACCACATAAAATGACGATTTCCATGGCCTTGTCGTTGTCGTTGCGTGGTTGTCGTTATCGTTACCTTGCGCTTCGCTTGGTGTCTCGTTTCTTCTATTTTGTTGCTGCTATTTCTATCCGGCTAACGGTCCATAACGATGTGTGTTCGCGCGTTGCTACTGTTTGTTGCTGCTGAATCTGCTTATACGGGTCTAACCTGCCAACTTTCCTGATGACGCCACACGTTGCTGCTGTTTGTTACTTCTAAATCTGCTGCTTTTTCTATCCTGCTTCTTTTTCTGCTGCTGTTTCTATCCTGCTTCTAACTCTGCTGCTATTTTCTGTCCTGCTGCTAAACCTGCTGCTATTTCTAAGCTGCTAACGGTCCATGATGATGCACATCACACGGCGTCTCCTGCCCTTAGGTCCCTGACCTAACCATATGGTACGGTCCGGACACGTACATGGGAGAGAACCTGCACAACATGCTGACGGAGCTCGCCGGCATGACCGACGAGCAGATCAGGGAGGTGCACCCGAAGCACGACCAGGTGTGTGTGTACGGCGGCGTCCCTTCGGGCCTTTGTTGCTTCGCAACCGATGATGGTGCGCATAGGCCACCACACCCAAGAGTTCACATACATACAAGCTTGGTGTGCGGCACCCAAATTGAGCTAGGGGGGCAAAGCCGCAGCGGAAACCTCGCGCATGCGCGCGTGTGCGTGTATGCCTCTTATTGGAATCGACCGCGCTAGTTGGCTGACCAATACACGTCAGTCGCGGTGCGACTGAATACCTGAACAGTTTCTAATTGCCGTGACCTGGGACCCCGGGAGGGCGCGTCATGGGCGGGGTTTAAAGCTACTCCCCGGATGTTTTTATGTGTGTTTCTCACAAGGTGGACAAGAACGATTCACGGCACGGTGGGAGGGAGCTATTCCGTCGTCTTGTCGCGTGCATGATCTTGGCCGGGTTGTTCTTCTGCGGGGAGGGGGGGGCATCGTCGTCTAGGTGGCAGCGAGCGGCGTGTTCATGTGGCGTTTCATGGGTCAAACGTCTCTCGTCCCTTCGCGCCCACGTCTTTATCACCCCGGGTATCAGCCTATCATTATCTCGCGCCATTCCTCGGTGCCCCTCCATCCCCCCACCGTACCCCGCCCCTCTCTTGGTGTTGTCCTTCTCTGTTTCCGCGCTCCTTGATTCCTCTCTCTTTATGTTTTCTCCCGCTTGTCGTTCCTGTGCGTTCTTGACGCAGGCGTCGGTACGAAGCTTGCTGCCGAGGTTTCACTACTTCCGCCAGGGGAACTGCATCGTGCACCACATGTTCGGGGATGATGTGAGTCGGTCCCCTCCCCTCCTTTATATCTCAGTGGATGGCGTTTTTGTCGCCCCCCTCCTGTGTAACCCCTCCTCCTTCTCTCAGGGGGTGGCGCTTGTAGTCGTCCCCCTTCCTTTGCACCCCTGCTGCATCTATCAGGGGATTGCGTGAGTCGTCCCCCCCCCCTACGTACGAAAGTTGGCGGGGGTTTTCAAGCACGAGCAGGTTCCACCGGTGCTGAGCCTAAAAGACCTAGTGTGTGGTCGATCGTCGGGTGACTCGGAGAGCATGCACACAAACAATTACCTTTCCCACACAAACACACCTGTCGGTTAGAGCCCTGTTATTATGTTGCGTGTTTACGCATTTTGTTCTGTTGTAGACTGAAGTCTTGTCATTGGTCGTTCGGCTAGCTCGGTCTACGCTAAAAAAGAAACACCCATGAAACGTTGCTTGAATAGGTTGTGGAACGCGTGCGATCAAACCACGCGGATGCCTTCCACACAGCGCACTTGGAAGTGCCCGGGGAGATGTTTCGCCTTGCCATGGAGGCTCAGAACAAGGTACGAGCTGGTATGGTTCGGTGTAGTGTTCCGGGATGGGTGTGGCGGTAGTGGTAGCAATTGTACGAGATTGTGTGGCACGCGCCAAGGCAGTATGGTGTTTTCATGTGTCTTTTTTTTTCGTGCAGTTTCTATTTACCACTTGATTTCTAGAAGGGCGAACCCTTTTGGGGATGGGGGTAGTTGGCCTGTGACCACGGAAGGCGCACGAGTCTGTTGGACAGGTACGGATATTGGAAGGTGGTAACTGAGTAGAGACCGGAACGATATTTTATTGTCAAGACAACAATGTTTGTATGCGAGTGATTGTTCGTCAGATCTAACTTTTCGCCTAGTCTCATCACAGGGCTGCGGCCATGGCGGGCTTTTGTCAGTTTCTTCTCTTTTTGTCCAGGTGCTATCATAGTTAGAGCGCCATCACCCGCATGGGTTCGGTTCTCATGACGTCGCGGCAAAGCTGCACCGCTTCTCCTCTAAAATGAATCGTCTGTTCGGGCTTTCCCACGTACCTCGATTTTCTCATGTCGTACAAGTGTCATCACGCCGTGCAAGTGACGCCTTTGGTATGTGACAGATCTGCGTTCTTCTTTCTTCTTCCGGCTGACCGAGCACGTCTTTTCATTGGTCAACCGGTTAGCGCGGTCAATGCCAATCATAAAGACAAGACACACCCCTCCTTCGCTTGCCCCACGGGAACATCCAACCAGGGGCGGGGAGTGGTGGGGTCGACGTCAAACATTCTCGGGTTTATCAAGGACCAGACTAGGGGGGCGGTGGCGCGGGAGGAGGCAGCGGGAGAGAAGCTTTCTTTCGTGCTGGGCACGGAGTCGGGCATGATAACGAGCATCGTGAGGGCGGTGCAGGAGGAGCTCAGGGCGCACAGCAACAAGACGCAGGTGCTGTTTAGCGAGGCTGCTGCTGCTGTGTGTGCCTTGTTGTGTTCGGCACCGAGCTCGCTCACCGGTTAGCCAAATTTTCGGCACGCCGTGTGAGGGGCACGAGCCTGTGTCTGATTCTTCGAATGGCAACCCCCCTGCAATCCACGGCTGACCAATGAACATTCGTCGGGTCTCAGCCGAACAAAGCACACAGGACCTCTCTTTTGTCCCATCTTTTCTGGCGCCAGTGTAGACCTCGGTACGTGTAGCATATTTGATGGAAGATGGGTCACACCGTAGGAAAAAAGCACAGCGGGGTGACTTTAGTAGGATTGTTTGGTCAACCACCATCATAGATCAATCAAGTGAGTCAGGGAGACGACGTGAACTCCCCCCCCCTCCCTTCCATTCGCTCTCTACCACTGCGCGTCTTCGCTGTTGCGTTTGTCTCTCGTGCGTGCACACAAGGTGGAGATAGTGTTTCCGGTAGCCTCGGAGGCCATGACGGCCACTGGGGAGTCGGGCGACGGCAGCATGCAGGTCGTCCCTGGTGTTTCTGGTGAGACGCCGTGTTTTGGAAATATTCATAACGGCAGCAGTGGTCCCGGTATGATGCCGGTCGCCCCGTGTAGTGCCGTTGAAATCGTCTGGCACAGATGGAATATTCAAGTTGTTTCATACTCTGAATAATGCCGGTTGCCCGCTATAAGACCAGTGAAACCAGCTAGATCGCACCGGCATTATACCGGGACCACTGGTGTATACATACAAGCAAAGAAAACAGTCTACCCGTTGGAGATGTAACCATAGTCGAAGAGGATGAGTTGAAGTTTTTGCAGTGAATGGATTTTATTGCCGCTCGCTTCCTGAGGGTCAACCGGTATGTATCCAGCCGTTCGGTTGCGATAACCGTTTTTTTGTGTTACTGTTTTTGCTCCCGTTTTTCTGAGAGGGGGGCGGGGTCCGTGACTCGTAAATGAGAACCATGCATCGGCACAGAATACTTTCGCCTTGTGCTCGGCGAGAAATCCATTAGCGTTTTGCGTGGGCGTCCGTTCGGAGGTAATTAAGAGACCCTTGGTCGTATTGACACACATAAGCGATACGCCGCCGTTCTCGCGAAACGTCAACTGCCTCCCGAGGTACCAGGTGACACAAAATACCACACCCCCTTGAACAGATTTTCAAAGCTAGATTGCTCTTCAGTAGAAAGAGTGGCCGGTGCCGAAAATACGACGTTGGAAACTTTCTCGTCGATTGCTTTCCGAAAACGCACTACTACTGTGGCATCATCTTCGTCGTGGAGTAGTCGAGCTATCAAAATCGATCCAGGGGGTGTGATATCTTCCGTCACCAACGGTGGTCGTCTCGAAGAGAGCGGCCCGACTCGGTCGTATACAAAAAAAAAGGCTATAGTTTTTCAGTCGTTATCTGGTATGTTTGGGGTGCCAAACGGGCATGTGAAGACTACTGCCGTCTGTCTAGGCCTTGGTAGCGGGTGCGGCCTGCCTGCCTGGCGCCCGGACCCATGACGACTACCCGCGCGGCACAATCAGACGAGGGCGTCATTGGTCGCTCCTTCGTTACCTCGATGGTTCCTGCCCGTCTTGCGGAAGCTTGGGCCTTGAAACACGGTAGCCGTTTTGGTAGCCCTGCGGCGCACCACGCTTGAGTTGTTTAGCCCAAAACCGAGTCAAAGATTAACTTGCGTGTAGCACGAGAACAACATAAGCGGCTTGTCCCTCTCTCGAACGGCGTGTGTCCTGCGTACGTTTCTTGTCACAGGCATTTTCCACCAGACACACTACTAGCCAACCAACCTCAACCTCTATTCATATGGACCACCAACATCACTGCCCTCAACCCACTCGTTTGGAAGGAACGATTGGCCATCGGTGATCGGTCCTGTGGCAACAACGCTCCGTACTCTTGAGGACGCGTGGTCTAACAGCGAAGTCATGCAAAACATTAGTACGCCCCCCCGGGGGAGCCTCCCGTTGTTTCCCCAAGAATAATATCCTCCCTTTGCTGCCCTGAACATATCCAAATTCGTCTGTTGATTCTCGCCTTTGTCCACCTCGACCCTTGGGGGGCCAGGCGGAGAGGGATGCTCTACGGCAGGGGGGTGCGCCACCTGCCCGTTCATGAAGATGAATGACTTGCACTCTCTCTTGGACGTGGTTGGTGACGCGAACAAGTCCGGCGCTGTGCCGGGTGAGATTTGGCTCTGTGGGTCCTCTACTGTTGTTGTTGTTGTTGTTGTTGTTGTTGTTGTTGTTTCGTCACTAGTAACAACACGATTGATGTTGTTGTTACCCATGTGTTGTTACCGTTGTTGTTGTCACTGTTGCTGCTGTCGGTGCTGGTGCTGCTGTTGTTTTTGGTGGTGTTGTGGTTGTGGGGATTCGCTGGGGAAATACTCTCCGATTGATTGCTTCACCCAACGGCTCCACCGCCAAGCGGACGAGGCGAGCTGTTCGTGAAGCAATTCATGCCGTTGCGTGGTCATCGTTACCCTTGTCACATGGCTGGATTGTTGAGGATCTCGGGACTTGCTGGGTAGGTTCGTGTGGCCGGGTGAACCAACAGGTCTGAACATTCAATTTCCCCGTGCTGCTGATGTAATGTCAGATAGATCGCATGCAAGGACGGTCCTACAAAAGATCTTTCGTGTGCCTCGAACGCATGATCCAATGATCTGATATCTTTCTCCGTTCTACCCTTCCGTTTTGGTCGGCCACTGTGACTCTTCGTCCGTCCTAGACGTGTTGAAGGGTTTCCTTCCGAAGAGGCGAGCCTTCACCATCGATGGCCAGGACAAGACGGAGCTAGGGGTGGTCCCGATCATGCACATGCGGGACCTCATGAAAAACGGGTGAGCAAATCTCAAGGATGATACGAAACGAAAGTCCGGCAGGTACTGGTCGTTGTTTGTCCAGGATTTGATCACAGCCACTTCTCTCCTTTCCTGTGGCGGCTGCAGACAGAGTTCTGCGAGGGTATGAACAGCACCGTATTGTGTACTAGCAACCAAATACCCCGCCGGATGAGCCCACTATCGCAACAGTTTTGCATAATTGTTTTTAACGGTGGGCAAACTGTGTGTGTGTTTTGTTGATACACGCTCCGCCTTGGAGACTGATCCTTTTACCATGAGGTTCAGGACGTCAGCACAATCGTATCCTTGTGCTTTCAGGAGGTAAATTATTGGTGTTTTGTTAGTGTGGCAGTGGAAAGGAGTTCGCCAGCGGAAGTCTCTTTTGAGGTCACGCTTTCATTCTGCGGCTCTAAAAAGAGCGTCACTTGAAAGTATCCCACGTGATCGCAAGAATTCCGGCTCGTCTGATTGGGGCATCGCCTTCGATGAACACTCAGCTACTGTTGTCGACACTCCTCCCCTCAAGACACACTAGGCCATGCTGGCATACAAGCGCTTCTGCAATGATCTTTAGATGTGTACTCTCCGTGCACATTTCTATGCCAGGCACACAGCGTGGATCTGAAAGTACGCAGATACTGTCTTGTTGTGCTTCAACCATTCGCCGCCCCGCCTGTACTGGGGCATCGGCAGTGGGTTGAAAAGGCGGGAAGTGATATCGATGGGATGTAGATCTCTGGCATGTTTTAGCCACCGTTGGCAAAGTAGGAAGGAACGTTTGGCCATAGGTGATCGATCCTGTGGGAACAATGCTCCAACCTCTTTAGGACGCGTGGTCAATGGTCTAACTGCTAAGGAATGCAAAACATAAGCGTACCCCCCGCCCCCCTCCCGGCGCGATCCTTCGACTACATGACATTGCCTCCGAACGTCGTCAGGGCTCTTTCGGACGACCTTGTATCGGACGTGCAATCCAGATGTGGCTGAGGTGTTCCCGGCGGGGCAGGTGGTCCACGTGATTCGGATTGGGCCGGGCATGTGTTATTTCTTGCACGCACGCATTATTAATATGTGGACAGCCGAAACGCCAAAGTATCGGTGATGATGGGAATCTTTGCACGAAGAGTTAGTCTCCTGGGCGATCGAAGCCCCAGGACCGTCGGTGTCACTGGCGGCGAACTTGAACCTTGACTGCCGGTCATCTGTGCGGAGACACTTTCGCGTCACCGGTAGATGCAGCGGTCGCTGCGTAGGGGAAGACGACGATCAGGGTGGTGGTGTTCAACGATCATACGTAATAATAAAATTGTTTTGCGCTTTGCCCTTAAAAGTGCAAGCGATGATGGTCTTCGTGACGAGCCTGCAGTATGCCCAACACCTTTTCCCGGTGTGTAGCTTGTGTATTCCAGAGCCACGGGAGTCGGCTGATGTCGAAACATCGGGAGTCGGGCCAGCGTTTTTTGGGGGGGTTAGATGGGCGAGATTGAGTCAGTCGCATTCCGGCGAGTCATGCTCGAGTGTACAGGATAATGGGTTATCCGGGTCAAAGGATCATGTGCTGGAAACGTTGTTGCTACTGTGGATACCGTTGCTTGGTTCTTGCTGCCGTCACGTCCCCCGTGTTACATTTTGAATCACAATCATCGACGATTCTCCGCGATCACACATGCTCCGTAATGGGCATCACGGAGCGAATAAGAGATGCACCTCTCGCACCAAACGTTTACGTAGGATAGGCCAAAACTGTAGAGCTATCACATCCTGACCATCGCTTGCCGACGGATATCCGTCCCTTCGATGCCGTAGGCCTCTGGCGACAGCATCTTGCTAGTGCTGGCACCACTCTCGCGCACAGCTGGAGTAACGACTTCTTGCTGGTGGAAACGTTACCGGGGTTGTCGTTGTAGATGGTTCGGGTGGTCTAGCATTGTTTCACCAGCGTTAACGGAGGGACAACGTGAATGATAGGACGTTGAGAGATGAACGAAGAGTTGGGAAGTCTTCTCAAGTGCGAGCAATTGAGGGGGGGGGTGTACTCATAGTCGTGCATGCCGTAATCGTTAGACCATTGACCTCGCATCCCTATAAAACCGAGACAGAGCACGCTAGGTTGTCACCGGACCAGGCTCTCACATCACCAAAGCGAAGCGCCGTGAGGTATTCGGCGAGTCGCATTAAGGGAGCGCAGCATCCTGCTAAGGGTGTTCGGCATCTTTAGCTTACTTCCTTGCGTACGGATGACAGCTGCGCATGACTTAATTTATTTCCTGGTGCTTTCACTTCCAGAGACAGTTGAGGGGGCAAGGGAGAAGCGGGTTTGGGGTGTCACGTGGCAACGCCAATACTGACAGGATCGTACTCATCTACGAACAACGCTCCCTGTCCCCGTCCTGTTTCCGTTACAGCCGGTGACGGTGGGACCCTCGTCACGTGGTATGCCGCTGCGCGCCGTCAGGCCTCGTTATCGTTATCAATACCGACACTAGCTTGCGGTGCATACTTGTTCTCATCACAACGAGGTTAGGATGTTTTCGTTGCGATGCAGCTCGCAAGACCTCCGTCGCTGTCAGGGAGCTCGAGACGGCAAAATGACTTCGAGATGGATCCGGCGCGTCTTATCGTCGGACTTCAAACCGTCGGGGATAGCTGCCGCTCCCATCTTCTGAGCAGGGCTCCGTGAACATGGTCATCCCGCTGCTCCACATGTCACGGCGATTGCTAAGTGGCTGAGGCAACCAGTTTCGACGGTTTGAAGTCCGACAGGAAGTCTCGTTGCACCCATCCCAGCGACGTTACCGTCGTGAGCTCCCTGACAGCGTGAGATTGTGCCTTGGGGGGGACCCCCTCGGACACCGCGAGGGCGAGAAGAACAGGTGCCCCAACGTCCTGGGCGTTGCCGCGTGGAACACCCTCTAAAGACTGGCGCACACCTTGGCCGCTATCTTGGCGATACGCGGTTTGGTTGCAGCGGCGTCGTCAGGCTCCCATACCGTCACGACTACGCTGCAACCAAAAACCGCATTGCCAAGCCAGAGACCAAGGTGTGGGCCAGTCTGAAGTGGGCGCTCCACGCGGCAACGCCCACGACGTTCGCGCACCTGTTCCTTGCTCACGCGTTGTCCGATGGGGCTCTCGCCGAAGCATAACCTAACACAGGCAGGGATCTCGCCACGGAAACAAACGTCGTTGAGATGGGTGCAGCAAGGCTTCCCGTCGTAGGGTTTCGTTGCCACTGCCATGTTCTATGGAAGGTCGACCGTACCGTACTACACCCGGCCCCACTCTCGACCTGATGAGAATTCGTGGTGGAGGGACGTGGAGACAGCACTGCCGTGGAAGACGACTCAAGTGGTGATGTGTACCACCGCCGTTGCCGGGAGATAGACAAAGGACGGGGATACGGGACGTTGGTCGACGGGCAGGCAGCCAGAAGACGTCGATGCGTGAGTCATGCGTGCGAGCAGTTGAGGTGAGGGTAGGGGGGCTTGCCCCGACTACGGTGTGCCCTACCTTCCCGGTCCGAACTACCATAGGGCACCACGGGCGGTGTCGGCATGAACCGTCCATGTTGCGAACGTCCTGCCAGAAGTCAGACACATTCCAACCATCACCCTTCGGTTATCTTACCGCGGATGGTACTGGCTTTCGACACTCAACAACTTTTCGCCAAACAGAGTCGGCGTAGAACCGATCCGATCGGCGCGTCTATGCTGCCCCGCTGGGAAAGGAGGCGCTGGAGCAGTCCACCTCGCTCCGACTTTGCTTGCTTGAGTGCTGTCCCAACCCGTTCCACGTCGAAACATAGAGAGAGGTCGCATAAGGCGTGGGCCCCACGGTGTCGTGAGTCGTTGTATGCCGCTGCACGCCGTCAGGCCCGTTATCGTCGGGGTCAATATCGGCACCAGCGTGCGGTGCATATTTGCTCTCATCACAACGGGGTTGGCGGTATCTTCTTTGGCAGAACCTCCGTCCCACGCCGTCAGGTAGCTCGCGACAGCCAAACAGCTTCGAGATGGGTCCGGCGCGGCTTATCGTCGGATTTCAAACCGTCGAGGATAGCTGCCGTTCCCATCTTCTGAGCGGGGCTCCGTAACCATGACTGCTACACATGTCAAGGCGATCGCGAAGTGGCGTTGTTGACTTTAACGGAACACTGCTTACAAGATAGCAGCGGCTGCCAATTTCGACGGCTTGAATTCCGACAGGAAGTCTCGTTGCACCCATCTCCACGACGATTCCTTCATAAGCTCCCTGACAGCGTGAGGTCGTTATTCTGCGAGAGCCCCCTCGGACAACGCGCAGGCAAGGAGCAGGTGCGCGAACGTTGGGCGCTACCGCGTTGAGCACTCCCTTTGGCGCACACCTTGGCCTCTAGCTTGGCAATGGGCTTCTCGATTGCATTGACGTGGTCGGGCTCCCACACCGTGACTCTCACTGTGTGTATCGTGTGGGAGCCCGATCACGCTGCAACCAAGAAGCCCATTGCCAAGCTAGAGGCCAAGGTGTGCGCCAAAGGGAGTGCTCAACGCGGTAGCGCCCAACGTTCGCGCACCTGCTCCTTGCCCGCGCGATATCCGAGGGGGCATCGCCCAATCACGATCTCAGACGGCCAGGGAGCTCACGACGGCAACAACGTTGAGATCGGTGCAGCTCCGGTTTCGTCGCATTTCAAGCTGTAAAATTGGCTGCCGCTGCCATCTTCTAAGGAAGGTCGACCGCACACACCGTCCTACACCCGGCACCGCTCTCGAGCCAACAGGTATTCGTGGTGGAGGAACATGGAGGCGATATACTGCGTCGGCGAGGGTTCGAATGGTAACGTGTAGCACCGTCGATGCCGGGAGGAAGACAAAGGACGGCGAAACGGGACGTTGGTCCACGGACAGGAAGTCGAGAGACATGGACGCTTACATCGTGCGTGCGAGCAGTTGAGGCGAGGGTGGGGGGCTTGCCCCGACTATGGCGTGCCCAATCCTCCCGGTTCGTACTACCATGGACATGGCGGTAGACGTGAACCGCCCATGTTGCAAACGACTTGCCAGAAGTCAGGCACATTCCAACCGCTAGCCTTCGGACATCTTGCCGCTCACGGTACTGGCTTTCGACACTGAACAGGTTCGCCAAACCAAGTCGGCGTCGATCCGATCCGATCGGTGCGTCTATGATGCCCCACTGGGAAAGGGGGCACTGGAACAGTCGAGCGGGCGCCAACCCGCCTCCAGTCAATACGAAAGAGCGTGGTTGGTAAAAAAATCGCTTCTCCAGCTTCCTCGCGTGACGATAGAGCCAACGACCATTTAAAAGACACAAAAGAAGTTCTGCTTGCCTGTTGACTATTCCAATCCACCCCACGTCGAAGCACTGATTCCGCATACCGTATATGACACAAGATAACACACCCCCTGGACCGATTTTCAAAGCTCGATTACTCCACGGCGAAGAAAATGCACAACGAAATGATACATTTTCGAAAAGCTCTCGACGAGACGATTTCAACGCCGCCATTTTCGGCGCTGTGACTGTTCCGGCAGTTGAGAAATCGAGCTTCGAAAGTCGGTCAAGGGGGTGTGTTATCTTGTGTCATATACGGTAGGTCGCAATTTATTCGCTGGCTAGACGCACTCGGATCGGAATAGGATCACCGGGAAAGAAGAGAGACACGGAAAGAGCGCGGGTCTGCGCTTAGGCGAGAGCCCTCTCGGACAACGTACGGGCGAGGAACAGGTGCGCGAGCATCGTGGGCGTTGCCGCGTTGAGGGCCCACTCAAGACTTGCGCACGCCTTGGTATCTAGCTCACCCATACGCTTCTTGATGTCAGCGACGTGGTCGGGCTCCCACTCGTTGCATACAGCGAGCAATGCGGCTAGGGTGTTCTCCGGTCCGGTCTCCTCCTGCTTGTAGGCCATCAGCAGGCGCGCCATTGGGAGGAGATCACGTTCGTCATCCGCCATCTTCTCGTCGGCAGTCGCGGTCATGAACATTTCTGAATTGACGATGGCGAGAGTGATGGACATCCGAGGCCGCAAGGTACGAGGGGAATACCGGCACCGACAGTAAGACCTGGTAGCGATGTCGATCATTGCCGGGGTGAAACGCCGAAACAGCTGGCGCAGCCGGGAACTCAGCATGTAAGAACCGAGTTGAACGTTGCTGCTGTCGGTGTCTCGCTTGGCGAACAAGTGTTGAAGCATGCTGTTGGTCTCGGAATCTTCTGTGGAGAGAGCGATGCCCCCATGAAGGGGTTCCACCGCGGCCGGGTGGCCCTGAGTGGTCAGCGCGCGTTGGCAATGATCACGAAAGTCAGGGTGGTGTTGAGACAGGTGTGTGTGTGTGTGTGGGGGGTGTACTCATAGTCGTGCATGCCGTAGTCGTTAGACCATTGACCTCGCATCCCTATAAAGCCGGGACGGAGCACGCCGGGTTCTCACCGGACCAGGCTCTCACATCACCAAGCGCGAAGCGCCGTGAGATATTCGGCGAGTCGCATGAAGGGTGCGCTGCATCCTGCTAAGGGTTTTCGGCATCTTGTGCTTACTTCCTTGCGTACGGATGACAGCTGCGTATGACTTAATATATTTTATGGTGCTTTCGCTTCCTGAGACAGTTGTAAGCACCGTGTAACTGCCTCGAGGGTGCT